AAATACAGATATTATATCAAACTAATTTGTCTCTAAATAGTGTTGTGTAATAGATACAGCGGTTAGACCTTCCTTTGACATTTAATAGGAAATTAATATTCGATGAAGTTGAAACTCAACGTCGGAGCTCTTTAGTGAAATAGTATGCCTATAACGTCTATTGCGCAGTATTTACTTATTCAATAAGCAAGGCGACAGATGTTTAAAACATACCAAAATAATCACCATCTCCCCTACCTTATCTTACTCCTCTAAATAACTCTATCATCCATCATCTAAGTCATCACTCCCTTCTTGATTATGTCACCTTTCATGCAATCCATTCATCTCTTCCTAGGTCTTTTACCGGTGTACTTCCACACTAATAACTTAGTTCCCTCATGTTGTATGCGATTTATCTCTCATAACAAACTAAAACCATGCTAACCTATTACTCCTTATTTTTCTACCACTGGTGCTACTCTCAAACCTCCTCTAATATATCATATCTTATCCATTCGTGTTATTAAAACATCAAAAATTTAATTTAAAATAAATTGCAAGAAAGTATTTTATTCATTAACATTGTAAACTGTATGAATAGTAGGGGAAAAACACTAGCAGTACAGGTATGGGGTACAATACACCGGACTTACGGTTCGATGCATTCGTGCGTACGTCTTGTTGGCTTCGGGCGATATATGAACCTTATTTCGATGATTTAAGACCTATTTTCCAATATCTCAACAACGAGTACAAGCTATGTTATACGATACGATACCAAAGGATATCCGAAAGCCTTGGTATTCAATGGTTTTCGACGGATGACTTCTGTAACGTTGAAATTGGGGCATCGAAAAATCGTAGTAGTTCTCTTTAGTAAATTTTTTCCTAGAAACTTTATTGTTTGTGATATACATACATGCCATATCACAATGCCTGATATTATAAAATATATAAATTGTAAATACTCTAAACTGGACTAATGTGAAGAAATAAACTAGACAAACGCCATCAGTGACTTAATAATGATGTAATTTCCATAATATACATTAATAATTACTGTTTTATAGTAATTTCTTCAAATATGACCCTCATCTGTACCACGATATTACATACTAGCTGTTGCTTACGAGTTCGCCCGTGTAAAATTATAAAAAGAATCAAAAATATAGACTATATTACTCATTGATAACGTAGCTTTTTAATTGTGAAAGTTGTTTTGAAATCAGCCTTGTAGTTTTTGAGTTATTTCAATAAATATAAATATAAAAATCTTTATAATATTAATATAGATATTAGAATATAGATATCGGTATCGATATTACAATAAATTAGCGGCGAACCCCTCAATACATCACGTACTGACGTAGCCGTTGATTGATTGATTCCTTAATTGAGTTTCCACAAATGAGCTCTGTTTCTATTAACAAATATGTCGTCCCAAAATTAGCTGTCAATGTATTCCAGGTTCACTGTCCATTAACCTTTAGCGTAATGAGGTAAACAGATGTAACAGTATCTAATTGTTTCATATAATAGTAAGAGCCTTTAAGAAAATTTGTATATTGCTACATAAAATTTGTAATCCGTCAGTATAGTACAATGATCCGAGTGTATGAAAAAAAACATACACTTTTTTTCTATCTATTAATAAAGGACTGTGTTTGCAGATTCGTTACTATAAAGAGTAATATTATAAAGAAGAAAGATTTGTATTTTTTTATATTTTTTCAAAAATTCTTTCATCGTTAAAAAACTACGTTATCAGTGAGTAGCATAGGCTATATTTGTTATTATATTTTAATTTTACCCGGACGAAGTCGCTATAGCTAATCAGATATAAGATACATGACAAGTACATGGAAAAATTTACAGACACGTAATAACATGATTGTGGAGAACAGATGTCACTTGTTTGTGCCAAAAGATTGCGAAATGTCCGCGATTGACCTTTACAAGTAATGGTAAGATCCGTGCCAATGCCAACCACTGGCAAAAATGCTTTGATATGCCACAAGACGTGTGACTCGGTTACAATCTATATTTCTATTATATGATATCCAATATTAATAATGTGCTATACAATATCAAAATATCGATTTCTTTATCGACAATGCATAACAATTAATATTAAAAAAAAAAACAAGTTTCAACAGTCCACTGTAGTTTTTATTAAAGAAAAACAAAAGAACATTCTAGAACCAAGTAAGAGTTACAGTTGTAAAATCTATCTATACTATCTATACTATTAAAATAAAGCGTAAACACACACTTCTTTGTTGCCTAAGATGTAAGGAATTACAGCATATTTTTGAATAACTCTTTTTTTAATAAAAGCCCTACACTTACTTCACGCTTTAGGCTATATATTTTTACGCCATTAGACTTAGGGGGTAAATATTTTGGATAAAAAGCCTAATGTGGGAAAGAAACCACAAGTTGCTGCCAACATCAAGGAACCAAGATTGTCAAGGTTTGTCATGTCATGTGATTTTGACATTTGCAATTGATAAATTGACAAATGTAAACAAAAAAAATCATAACTTCATGCGGATGAAGCCGCACGGGAACAGCTAGTTTATAAAAAAATCAAAATATTACGTCGACATAATTTAATTACACAATTTAATTGTGAAGAAACCTACATAACTCTAGCTACACTAATACCTAAACAGTAATTTCATATCAATAAAAAATCATTATTGTATGCTTTTTAAGAAACCAGCACTAACATAATTAAAGTTGCAAAATATGAGTAAACACTTCGTATGACCATTATCATTTGTAATAGACAGCAGTAATCGATTAATGAATGGTAAATAACAAATCGATTATGCTGCTATTCGATTATCAAACAATATAATTTGACGGGTGTCAAAATGTATAAACTAGAAGCCTACGCTATCGATATCTCTCGCCTGCGTCTCACTTGAATTACGAGTCTTGATATTAATTTTTCGAATAATGTTTTGTATCTGTGCTTGTTTTTACTAAGAATATAAACAGGATGAGAAAGAGGCGAAAGGGATGCTGTGGCCTCCGTCTTTGTAGAGACCCGTAAATTCTTCTAATAAGAACTGCTCAAGTCAATAGGCTGGCAACACTTCTGCGTAAAGAAGATAAATGCTAACTTCCCTATCAAACGATACTACATCACTCAAGATTAAATATATCAATACTAGCTGTCGCCCGCGACTCCGTCCGCGTGGAATTAAAAAAATCAAAAGTAAGTACCCGGAATGTTCTTCCAGAATATTCTCTATATCTATACCAAATTTCACAGAAATCTGTTCAGCCGTTTAGGCTACAAACTCTAACAAACATCCAATCCATCCATCCATCTATCCATCTAAACTTTCGCATTTATAATATCAGTATGAAGTATGATTTAAAATTCATTATAAACCTGTATTCTATATTCTTGTCGTAACACTCCGATCAAACCGTTAAATTCATGCAATAGCTGGCATAAAACGTTCATTTTGTCTGTCACAATAAAAGATGCTTGTGAAACATATCGATTCGAAACGTGCAAGGTCAATTTCTGAATGATTCGGAAATCGATTTCGAATCGATACAAGAGAATCGATTTCTTCTATCGTTACAGACATTGACTGACCGAGACCTCTAACGTTATATAACTTGTTATCAGGTGTTATACCTTGAGAAAGCAACACGTGTTAAGCCAGTCGGGACAGATTTCACCGTGACAGATTGGTATGGACAACATAAGTCTCGTCGCGAAATGATTTATCAATTTTGATATTTTATAAACAAATTTCTCCCGCGAATTCGTAAGGTTATGGTATAACTCGTTATTATATTTCAAGCATAATATGTAGAAAGTTATTGTAAGTTATAATTCTTTACAAAAACTTGATTAAGCACTTAAAACAAAGTATTTATAATAATATATTTTGTTTTGGTAAAATTATTAAAATTAATAATTTTACCAAAAATCAAGCAGCTGAAGTACAAGAAGCAATGTTAATGCAAAATTCAATGTTAAACCTTTGAGAAATCTCAGATGTTAATGGCGTTTATCGAGTCCAGTGAATAGCAGATGATAATATTGTTTCTGTTAGCGATTGAATTATGTATGGGCCAATAAATTATGTAGATCGACTTCTAGCTCTATTAGTTTCTTTGACAGTGACACAGTTCCGGCCTGAACGAGGCTCATTAAAAACTGTTACCCGTCAGACTCCATTAAATCTTTATAAAAACTGTATAATACATTCTTATATCTCAAGAAGATCGTCGATGACGTCAAGTTTCAGCACTTGACATTCACATGTCTAGGGTTCGAATCCCGCTGTACCAATGTGATTTTCGATCTACAATTTCATATGTGCATAATTTACCTGACGTTCTTACTATGAAGGAAAACATTGTGATGCCTGCACATATCGTCGAAGAAATTCAAAGACATGGGTGAAAACAACCCGCCGTGCAGTGGATCAGTTGGTTGACTATGGCCTAATCACCCCTTACTAAGGGTAGGCTCCGAGCTCCTAAGTAATATTAAATCATGAAAATTCTATAAAACGTTTATTGCATCATGTGTATTGGACGAGTAAACACTTATATCTTCTACAGGATGACCTTTACGAATAATAATTAATATTGAATTAATCATGAGTTGAGATTGGATTGATCACCTCCCGATTTATGAACATACTCTAATGGTCTTGACATTTTAATACTAAACGATGCTCTAACATGTTTTTACCTTATCAATGTTTTTAATTTCAGAAATCATATAAATAAAATGCTATTCTTTGAAGACCTTGACTTATAGTTAGTCTAAACTAAATATTATAAAAAATTGTATTTTTGTAGGTATTGCAATAACTCAAAAACTACTGGGCCAATTTCACCATTAAAAAACTACGTTATCAGTGAATAACATTTGTTTTTTACTATTTTGTAATTTCATGCGGGTAAAGTCGCGAGCAATATCTAGTATATAATATGCCTATTGATACACTTTTACTACATTTATAACTACTGCCTACCTTATAAACGAGTGAAGCTTTTGACGTCTTATGTTATCTGAAAATAAAAAAAAATAATTTAATACAAATTTTGGCAATAGTTACAAAACATACCAATATATTGTCTAGAATTAATTCAGGGTTTAGTTACACTGGTAAAAAGTAACGGCCGAATACTGAAAAAAACATTTAAATTTGTAGCGTTTAAAACAAGACCATGCTTTAACTCCAAGTTCCATGAAAATTTTGAAGTCTTACAGATTGTAAGCGGCGATTACGAAGCGAAGTATTATTCGTTTCAGTATTCGACCGTTATTCACATTAGTTGTAGCTAATATGTCATCATCCACTCAGGTAATATTAAAAAGTTGTTAAATTATGTAACTGGTCTTATTTAATACAGCCTACGGCTATCATAGTTACTCACGTCTCAATTGAGTAATGCAATATAACATATTACTTCCAATGAAAGTGAAAATAAAGAAAGTAAAGGTGATCCGACGAGTTCATCGGCAGTCATTTTGTCAAAATAACGGATGCGGTTGTTTATAGCACCTGACAGTTGTGTGGGTGAGGCTTTACATTATCTATGGTAACAGAAATCAAGTAGCCAAATGTTATGAGAGCTTAGATAAGTATGCAACGCGTCATCAATATTTTAAATGTGCGTCAATAATAACATCAATCAAAGATCAAATATTAGTAGAAAGGTTATAAAATCAATTGAGAATTTTTCTCTTCACTTTAGTATTCAATTCAATAAAAACGTATTTGTATTTTCTACTACATTTAGTTTGACATGAAAGGACAATTAAGGATGTCACAACCCACGTATGGCCTTGATAAATTTATTGGTCAAATAAAACAAAACAAGGTGCGTTTGAAAATTCACGGTGAGTCAACGAGTAAAAAACGGTACTTCGAATCACCTTACAAGGATCAGATGGCCTGAAAGGAACGGAGAAAGTGCAACTAAAGAAAATCGGCCGAGATCTCTTTCATCGGAACATTCCGGTCCCTTGGCCGTCGCGCTTTGTCGATAATGTCAACAACCGAGATGGAACTCGATGGTTACAGTTATGAACTGTGTGTACAGTCATCAAAATACATCTCGATTTTATAATCACTATTCTGAACAACTACAAATACAGCATGGTAAAATCGAATCATAAAAATATCGTCATTATGCAAGATCTGTTTCATAATTCAGTACGTTGACTTTGTTTACATGTGATAAGATTGTAGCGATAAGAGACAAGCCATTATGGAATTGATCCTCCACTTTTTATCATATTAGCAGCCTTGGCTTCGTAAGGGTAGATTAGAAGTAGATGGGATATTTTAAAATAATAAATAACAATAATCAATATAGTTCATGCTTTTTAAGTCTGTGCATTAGGTATTTACTTTATTCATTTGTTAAAATCAATTTTTGTTTATATTGCTGTTAAACATATGTATTAAGTACTCCAAATCTTACAATTTACAATTGTAAATATTTAATTGAAATCACAGTAACATAAATTACATTTTTTCTTATCGCAAACAAAAAAATATATTTTACGGCAATTTTAATCACACGCTTTAATCTGAACACTTGTACCATACAAGTACTCATCGGCGTTGACGACGTGCAGTTGAGTGATGAATGCATGGCGCAAGTGCGGTTGAACTCTACAACGAACGGTTGTTGAATCCTAAACAGTTTTATAATTATATTTATCTACTAATTTATCTTACAATATACAGAAATAATAATTGAAGAATACGCCAAAAGTTCTATAGAATTAGAATTTTAGATGCAAGGAATTTTTAAGAATACTTTCGTGGTACACTCATTGGCATAAACAAGATTTAAAACGTGTAAATGACTGGCGTGTTACAGTCACGTAATTTGTAAAGACATTGTGAAATGTTCCCACGATTATCCGGAAGGAAATGACTATAAAAACGTAAAAATCAAGTACCAAGACATGCTAATTTCTATCTTAAAATAAACTTAACTTGCAGCTAAAGACTGCGAATCGAAAGCAAAGCGTTCAAGAATCAATTTACGTAGTCAACAAACTTCATTTTATTTAAATTCAACTAACGTATTCATCGATAACGTTCCCCTACTAATGTTCCAATTTTAAATTCTATTGCCCGCCGTTCTCGGCAAGAATCAAATCGAATAGCTACCATTTTGAAAACACTCGCTTAATTCGTTTCTTAAATGCACCATTTCATGTTTATAACATCGCCATATTGTGATTTCATAAACTAACTAAAGAACAAATAAAAAGTTATAAAGTGACGAAATGCGCGAACGCAAGTAAGAAATCGAGACATTCTTTTGTTTTGAATAAAAATGATCACATAACGTATAAAGACAGCACCAAACAAGATTAAAATAAACTTAAAAGATGACATTGAATACAAAATACAGAAACACCATCAAAATAACTAAATACATCGACTAAAACTAAAGTCGGTAAATACTCTGAAGTCTAACTTTCTCATACTTCATACATTACAAAACAATATACAATAGACCAATTATTAAGACAACGAGTAACGGATAACTATAACAATTATCGTAACGTGTTAGCACATAACGTTACATAAATAACTATGGAAAAACAAGTGCGTAACTAACCCCTGTCAATCAAACCCATGCATATTTAAAGAAGAAAAAATTACCGAAACACATTCTAGATTAACATTTTATATATTTTTTTGGTAAAATAAGTTTAGTTTCAGAAATTTTCTCATATTCGGGGTAGTTATTTTTTTTTCTACTGTCAAAATTTCCGAACCAAATAATGAAATATTAAATTGTTTATCTACAAACAAGAGTCGGTTAAATATTCTAATGTTACGAGTACAATAAAAACTCGTACAAACACCTGAGATCACACACGTTTTGTGAACGTATCCATTTTAAATGTTGTATTTCTGAATGTTTTAACAGATCGATTCTTTTGTATGACGTAAGTAACAATGGACATGTTTCTAAACTTTTTTCATATGCTCATTAGTATGAGGATAACAGGTCCGTGTCAAACAGGCAAGTTCGTTACATCGTCTACTTACTCTGCTTACTTATAGCGTGCGCCTTTGACTAAACTATCGCAGAACTATTTAGTCTCGCTTTGCTACCTGTGAGAGATTTTTAGTTGTGCAAATAAACAGTTGATTGGGTTGCGAAACAATTGACAATCGTAAAAGGTGAACAACTTAATCCATTACTTAAAATTACATCTAAGTTTTTAAAAATTTAATAATTATTAAAATCAATTCAAACTAAATTCTCTTTAATGTTGTAACAAACTTTAAAATGTTTTCCCCTTTCTCGAATGTATCCTCGGACGGAAAGTTTTGAGCAATATTTGCACATTCCACAAACAAGGGCCATGTAAAAGCACTTGAGTAAACACAGGCATTACAAATATTTTAATTAAAGGACAGAATGTTGGGTAAGACAAACCAAACAAATTGTAACCGGTTAATATAATTTAAAATGTAGTGGTAAAGTATTAGCTACTAGCTTTTGCTCGTGACTTCGCCCCCGTGAAATTAAAAATTAACAAAAAACATAGCCTATGTTACTCACAGATTAATTACCTTTCTAACGGTGAAAGAATAAGAATCGGCACAGCAAAAAAAGTCCAAAAATACAAATATTTCATTTGTATACCAGTTATAGATGTAGATGTAGATGTAGACGTAGATGTAGATGTAGATGTAGATGTAGATGTAGATGTGGATGTGGATGTGGATGTGGATGTGGATGTAGATGTAGATGTAGATGTAGATGTAGATGTAGATGTAGATGTAGATGTAGATGTAGATGTAGATGTAGATGTAGATGTAGATGTAGATATAGATATCGATATAGATATAGATAAAATGTGCCTTTGACAGTTTACAATCTATCAATAAATTCAAAATTAATATGGATTACAATTTTTTACAAATTTAATAGTATATTAACTGTCAACTTATCAGCTTATATCTTTACTGGTAAGATTTAGTTGAGAGCAAAATGCTGGGATTCAAGCCGACTAATGATATCCCGTCTCCTTTACCATTTCACTAATAGTCCTTCGATGTCTAAATTCCTTCTAAATTTAAGTCTCTGTATTTCATACTATGTAAAAATAAGTTGATACGGTGACTTAGTAACGCTCACGTCCCAACCATATTTTATTTCACGGTCATACGAATACGTGTTAATGAGGCTTGTAACACAATAAGTTTCTAATGATTTTAATGTTTTTAGATAAAAATATGATATATTCCTTTGCTTATATTGCTTAATGCAACAATTAAATGAATATTTTAATTACATTTTAATTGTTAGTTAAGTGGAATAACCTTTAGCGACATCGTTAATTGAAAATAGAGGTATGTTTAAAATTAAAATTTCTCGATTCGAGCTACAAATATATGTTTTTGTAACTTAACATAACTAATTCAATTAATTCTAATTAGAATGAATTACAAAAAATTAAAAGGAACAACTTTTCTAACGTAATATGACATGTAAAAGGAACTCAAAAGGGTTCAAATTGTTGGTAAAACGTAGTTCATTAGTATTCAAAACAACGTTCCCCGTAAATGTCACTGCGACCAAAGAATTCTTTACCTCCCACCTTTTCACACGAAATACTAATGAATGCACTTTGTGTTTAGAAAACTTTTATATGAATTCGGCGGTTAGCTTAATTAAAAATGTTCTCGTAAATTAAGCAGTTTACTTTGAGGTAATATTGTTAACTTATATGTACTAGCTGTTGTTCGCGACTTTAAAAAAATAGCCTATGTTATTCACAGATAAATTACGTGTGTAACGGTGTAAGAATTTTTAAAATCGGCCCATTAGTTTTTGAGTAATTCTTATACATACAAATCTTTCCTCTTTGTAAAAGTATTTATAGATTTTGAATAATAGTGTGCACATAAATCAATATAAAGTTTTCAATTACATAATCGGAATACAGTGGTAGAGCCCGCTTTAACATCTGCGCAAGAATGGACCGGCTCGCCCGGTGTAATACCACGACCACACAGAAA